GGAGGCCAGTGCAGTGTTTTCAAATAGCTTGTTTTGCCTGACCAACAGTCCAAAACCTAGAGATATTCAGTTTTCTATCATAGATGAAGAAAACCAGCAAATACTATAAATTTGCCCTCATGCTGAACCCTAAACTCACGGTCGTATCACATTTCACAGGTGTTTGTATGACTGCGTGGGTTTGTGGCAGATTTAGCTGGTCGTTCAGCCCTCCCTGGTTAAACACAAGCCAAAGAAAATGTGTATGACGTCAGGCCTGTGTGCCTTTAGTTACAAATGTGTTTTGATAGAGCCGGCTCATCAATCAGCGACATCACAGATGACGTCAAGCTTGAGCTCCGCCGAAGTTGTGGTCCCCTCTATCTTATAGTCGTGATTTCAGAGGCGCTGTCGGAATATTTCAAGGTGTCATTCACCGCTGATGTTTGGCCAAGCCTCAAACTAATCTTCCGAGGGTTTGAGAGCCTCTGGATTTCATTTTGCTCGCAAAGACGTGGAAACATTTTAGCTAAACATTAATTTTTTCTCCCCCTCGTTGGAGTCATGCCAAAGACTTATTGAGTGCAGCTGAAATGCAGAGGGAGCTTGGCATTTTGCACTTTGATATGTGCAAGTGTTCTTGTGGAGAAACCATTGTTTGATTGGGACAAATTGGGAGCGATTTTCGCAAACTGCTTTGTGGAGGAGAAAGGGGACTTGCATTGATTTCCTGTTTAGAACAGAAAGCCTCAAAATCCAAGCTTCTAACCTGGCCTGCAGCGGAATATTTGTGTCTTTTATTTAGAACCCCTCCCTGCTGTTTTTCAGGTAGATGTTCTTCTTATAAAATGTGTTAAAATTTTGCTTGTTCTTCACACAGAAAAACCTTTTATAAATGTGCTCGGTCTGTGACATTCTGATGTGCTCTGGTAACACTCCAGATGCTGGTGAATCAACAGATAATGAATGACTATAGTACAACACAGTGGTAATTACATATGTCCCTATATCCTACCTACAACTACATTCAATTCTGATTATTTTAGTTGAGGAATTCAGTGAGCTGCAGCTGCACTAAATGGCGGTGTCATATCTCATCACATTTGCCGCTCCGGTACATCTGTGTCTGTTTGTTTTTCCTCTGTTCTCGCCCAGAGGGGTCTCTGTTGTTTCACCTGGCCGGCCCAGACGATCTCCTGACCTGTGCCGCAGATCCAGTGGTGTTCAGTGAGAGATCCTCTAACCCTGTCCTGACTCAAAACTGCATCACGAGTTAGATAAGCAGATGAAACACAAAGTGTTGAGTCTGTGTATTTATTTTTTAATGAAAACGCACTAAAAGGAAATGCAAGTACTTGGGTACTTCCTTGTTTTTGTTTTAGCACTTTAGAGCGGTCGTGTGTGGCAAAGTAGCACCTTGTTTGAAACACATTTAGCAGTAGTTGCTGAGCAACATTAGGAACTATTGTCCGCATTGTGGCTACTAGCGCCAAAAACAAGCGTGAACACGCTGTCCAAGTCGTCCTCGCCAACCATCACAGTCCACCTCAGTGGGACGGCCTACATCTGGCTTCACTCCCAGGATCCCACATCCCCTCTGTGATCTTCACGAGTATAAACGTTTTCAGCAACTCTACGTCTTGGTTCCCTGCAGTCCGATCTCACACACACACACACACACACAGTTGAGTGGAAGGTGGCAGTCTCTCATGTGTCCCAGTATCGAGTTAACATTCATTATGCACATGTCATTAAGCTCCTAATCCGCCACCATCCGTAATGTAAAGCAGTGCACCGCGAGGTTAGAGGGTGGAAGATCAGTGTCACAGAGGTGGAAGTTTAGCCCAAAATATTTCTTGTTTTTGATAGTCATAATAATATTTCTGTCCTCAGCTGCTCTCTAAATGTTAGACCGATTGAATGAACTCCACATAGTGACTTTTCCAAACAGGCAGCCAGTGTTGCTGGGTCATGTACATCTACAGTGTACTAGTACAGGAGCAGAGTCTTGCACTCTCCATTAGTTTCTTCATTTCTTTCATTATGCATAATAATTCTCTCTGTGATGCTCTGTCATGTCACGTTACCAGGAAGTCATGCTTGTAATTATCTTTTCTTTTCTTTGGATCATATCGGCCTGTGACCGCTCATAATACGACACACTTCATGCAAAGGTCCAGAAAGGCTCGGATTGGGTCGTAAGCTGCAGGAACAGCTGACCAGCATTTGGCTGGCGGGTTATTGTAAGTGGCTGTGGATAAGAGCATCAGCTCATTCACTACCTTGAAATTAATCGTAAAAGTCTGATTGCAGCACTTTAAACATATAGATTTTCAACACTGTATGGCCCGTTAGAAGTGGATCGGCACCATGTTTTGTTCTTCTATCGCTCGTTCCTGCTATCGGCCAAATATGTGCAATATTAATCATTTTGGAGATTTAGTTTTTGCTTGCCACGGACCAGCTGCAGCAAAGAAATCAAATCCCATGTTCTCACATGTATGTGGAGATGCATGTAATATGTACAGAGCAGTACTTTGGGAAAGGCCCAAAGAGTGAGAGCAATAAGCAAACCAGCATTTCATTTTTCCTCTGTTCTGTAGCCTGAGCTAACCTGTGTCATAAGCCCCTGTATCCCCTCCTCCTGAGCTCCCCAAAAATGACCCTCAATCCTCCACTGCAACTCTGAGCTCCTAAAGCCCCTCATCTAAAACTCCATCCCATAAACCCGAAGAGACCAATTGCTGTATTATAGCCTGTTATAGGGGCCTTCGGCTGCACTCCTACGTTAGTTTTGTCGTGCAGTAGAAATGTGAATTGCCTTTCCAAGGAGCATCAGTTTAGAAGATGAAGATCTTCTCACTTGCATGTCGTAGAAGTACAACCCCACAGAGCTGCTAGCTACTCTTGTCTGTTTTTTTTTTTAGGTTTACTGCTCCCTTTTGTGTATTATGGCTCGATTTTAATTTGTGTGTTTCGTTTCATTGGCAAGGACTCTAGAAGCTTTTGGATAGAAAGTTGTTTGGAAAACAAGTTTATGTGCTCCAATTTGGGATACATTTCATCAATTCCACTGAGTCCGACCCTAGATTTTAAGCAATACATTTAGTATTCAGTTTTCCACACATTGTCAGCAGAGACTGAAGTTTACCTTTTTGGTTTTCAGGGACCCCGATCTCTTGAACAATTAAATAAGAATACAGAGGTGGGAGAGAGGGAGAGGAAAAAGTGAAAGGAAGGGGAAACAATTCATTGCATTGTGTCCGCTGGCACATGGTCGGACCAGTTTGGGCTGGATTGCAGGAAAGCGGAGGCTAAAAAGAGGCAGAGGGGGAAGACGCAGCCCGTGAAATGATCCGAAAGACGAGGTCCTATCGGTGCACAAGGCCTTTTAATCAGACGTGCATCGTACTTCTTGCAACTCCACTGCACACCCCGACCCATGTGAGGCAATGCTGAAGAAGAAAAACAATGGGGGAAGCAGTGAGCCCTGTGTGAAAAAGGTAAGAAGAAAGGACACGCAGTGTGCTGTGGAATGGTGAGGGTTAGCATATCAGGCTCTGGATGAAGCTGAAATGGCTAAACACCTCAATAGCCATCAGTTGGCTGATAGTGGAAGTAAGCAAATAGTACATTTGATTGGATTGTATATTTACAATTTTAGTATCAGGAAATTGTTTCCTGGCTTGTCTTTATGAGATATGGTTGATTGTAACGTTTCAAAATGGACCTCTCCATGCCTGTTCGGCAAAACACAAGATGGAGAAATGAAATCATCAACAGTAAAAACATCTGGTTGTTCTTTGTGATTGGACAGCAGCTCTTAAAATTGTCATTACTTCTACTACAATAATAAAATCCTGCTTTTAAGCTAGTGCATGAGTAATAGTAATCCAATGATGTGATAAGAGCATAACAGTCAAAGAGGTCATTTTTCTGCATTGAGTACTTTCACTTTTAGTACTTTCTGGACTTGCATACTTCATAATTCACCTCACACACAGCTTCTTGGCATCAGACGTGCACACATACACACAATGTGGTTGAATATCAGAAATTTTGTAATTTCTCTCTTATAAAAAGCTGAAAATATCATCTTGTTTTGCACTCAAGGACGGTCTTTTTCAACGAGGAGAATGATGGATGGAAAATGAATGACGAATGATTCTCGTTCGTCACCTTCTTATCAAATCTTGAAAGCTTTTCTTTCTTTTTTTCACCACCTCCGTCAGAGGACTGGCATTGGCAAAAACCTCTCACTTCCCAATGCATTTCTCTTGACAGAATGAACGATTGCAAAGAATCGCGGGCGCCATTCAACAAGTTGACTGATGAAAAAACAAAGTTGTTTTCATGCTTCACAGCATAAAACACACACACACCAGCATGTATTGTTCCCTCTCCCTGGGTTTATGGTAGGAATAAATCAACTATCCACACTCTAACATTGTCATTACGTGAATTACAATTCACCAAGCTATTGACTCTGTAATAACTGAAAGATTAACGACGCGATAGAATCCCGGTCAGTTTGTGGCCCGACTACAGTTAATAGCCGAACGCCTCCCACCTATTCCACAGGCCCAGAATGAACTGGTGTACCTTCGTCAGCCGTGTGGCCTTGTCGCCGGTTGATAATAGGCCCATTGTCTCCTTTTATCTTTTGAAAGTCAGAGTGAACTCAGAGCTGGTCTCCTGCCATGCCGACGGCAGAGAGACTCTTCCGTCTCTTCTGTTCTCGTCTATCTCTTTAATAGATAGATAGAGATAGTTACTTTATTAATCCCACAAGAGGACATTTTTGTGCAGTGTGTGTGTTTGTGCTTATACCAGAACTGTGTATCTGTGCGTGAAGCCTGGTGGTCGTTTCCAAGAAGCAAGAGCTACTTTACATGCGCCTTTTTAATAAATCCATTATGACAAAAAACAAAGCTGTTGCTGTGATGTAAATAAATGCTTTTGCAGAATCTATACGAGTGCTGATCTCTGTCCCCCTCTTTGTGCTCTCCGTCCACCAGCAGATCCAGTTTGCGGACCAGAAGCAGGAGTTCAACAAACGTCCCTCCAAGATCGGCCGGCGCTCCCTGTCCCGCTCCATCTCCCAGTCGTCCACAGACAGCTACAGCTCAGGTAGAAGTGAATCCCCAGTCCCATTCATGACGATAGTGGTGCGAGAGAAATGTGTAAATTAGCCTTCAAACTTTAAGCAGCGTGTAAGCAACGTGTAAACATTCCCGATAGCTCTGCTTTTAGACTTCCTGCTGTGTGTCGGGCTCGTTCGCAGACCACAGATCTTCCATTGACACCATTAACATGACGAATTAATCCGTACGGCTCAGACGGCGTCGCCTCTTGTGGCGAAATATGATGGACAAGCAGCTGGACAGGCAGCTGGACTAATGACTTTCAGTCAGTATTAGTGGACGGCCGTAATGAGCCCGTCAGGTCACGGGGCGCTAAAAAAACTAGTGAGTATTCAGTGCTCCTATTGAGAGAGGATGAAACATTTTGTGTCTTCCCACCGGCACATTTGCAGGCATCACTAACCAGGGTCAGCTGACAAGATGAGCTGTTTTTGTGTTATTTAGCATGTATAGGGTTTTTTTCTATGGTGGATTATTATCTTAACATCTCAACAGCAGCAAATATAAATTGAGTGAAATGCGTCAGTGCTGCCAATATTAAGGTTATTTCCAGAAACGTGTGCAGCCTTATTCTCTCCCTTTTTGAATCCTCTTTTTTTTTTTTTTTTCCTTCCTCCCCCGTCTCTGCTGATTCCCTGTCTTCTCCCATAATTCCCTCAAAAGAGCGCCTCTTATTCCTCTGATGGTTCCCACAGTGCAGAGGACACGCCGAACACACTTGTAGTACTTTTCCCAAGGCCACTTTGCTGTAGATTATCTTCATTACGTGCTCCTCTTAAGGTAGCGGTCCAAGTCTGTCAAAGCATAGCAGATACAGATGAATCACCTTGTGATAAGTTCAACAACAATCTGTTTTTAGTTAGGAAATAAGAGGAAATTACAATATATATGTTGTTATGAAAAGACTTGTTTATGTTGTTCAATTCTAACATTTTCTTAAATATGTAGATGTAAAAAGTTTTGTATGTCATCCCATTACACTTTAAGGGAAAGCAATGTCCGACAGCATGGTCTGTTACCAGGTTGTGGGAGGACTACTGCGTCAGTGAACACGTTGTATGAAGCCCTCTGTGGCTCCACTGTGCTGCACAGTCTGATAAATTGCCTCAAGTTCTCGGTTGGGTCTGAAGAGTAGACGTTTGAAAATGAAAAAGACAATCTGTGGCTGTGGAGTGAGCACAAGTTTTGACAAATATGGCAATGCTGTATTGATTTTTTTTATAACTACATAGTGAGTCCGACGATGTTAATGGAGTGCAAAGCTAAATTGATGGAGTACTTTAATGCACAACCCATTTCAGACTTGTATTTGACAGAAGTGAATGTGTAATAAGTCCTAGTATTGGTTGAGACTTTAAATGATTAAGTATTATGTTTGAGTTGTGGATTACGTTAAATAGATTCTCCTTTTTAGCTCTTGTTGATGTCTAAAAATACTTCTGTGTGAATGTAGAAGACTTTTTCTTCACAGTCTTTGGCTTTGTCCCAGTTTCCCTTTTCAAGTATCGGTACATCCGCCCTCATGATCCCTAAGATCTGCTCTCCCCCCCCCCATCCCACCCTTTCCTCCTGTCGGTACGGATGGGGGATTTCAAAAGAAAACGTTGGACTCGTGAATTATTACCTTCTTTTTCTTTTTAAAGCCTTTCACCTCCTGGCACAGTACAGCATGTTCTTTGACTTCGGTATTGTTACAGTGCTGGCAAGGGAGCCGGTGGTATCTGGAGCTGGTCCATGGTCATTTTGAAAGAACTGATATTGGCATCGTGTAGCTGCTCTATGCAAGAGGAACCGTACCTGTGTCTTGAGTCAGCCTTAAGCACAGGAACCTCTCAGTGCTGGTGCCAGACATGGAGGCATCTTATTACTAAGTATGCTGCCGCACTGTTTCTATCTCCCAGAGGTGCACCGATACCTCTCTCTGACAGGTTTCTCTCAGTGTTGAAACACATTTGTATTTTGTTTGCTCTGCAGTCGGGTATTGGAAAGAGACTGGAGTTTTTGCAGAGGGTTTTGTTCGGCTGCTTTATAATCGGTGCAGAATCTGTGGCCTACCAAAGTCAAATTGCTGGTTTGGGAAAAAGACACTGTATTCACAGTGTAGAAACCGACGGCACATTGTGTTTGTTCTGCACTTTGAAACCTCTCAGCTCTTTCAGGTCTATATAAATACATTTGCTTTGCCATATTCAAAGTGCTTCAGATAAAACATAAAGGCATTCGGACAAGATGTAAAAGTAACCAGGCAATATACAAGAGATGCACGTAAATAGGATTTAAAAGGATTAAAACAAAGCAAAAGAGAAGATTAACATGAGATTGAATAAGACAGAGAAGTTTTAAGCTCTGATTAACAAAAACGTATTATTTTCTGGAAGATTGTTTCAGATACGTGATGGCACACAAACTAGAAAACTGCTTCTCCACATTTACCTTTGACTCTGTTATGAACCGTCCAGGCCTCACAGGTTGCTTTCTTTCTGTCCAGACGCTCCATGTCCGATGGGAGAAAGAAGAGGCATATATGGGGGAGTGGAAGTGTCCTGGGCATCTTCTCTCCTCTCTGCACTGAGACAGATTTGCTTTGTGGTGATTTGAGATGCAACAGTGCAGCTTAGAGGCATCCATTAACATCACATCCAGTCCCTTAATCGCTCATCTTAGTTTGTTAGAGATGTCCCTACGACAGAGAGCGGTCTTCTCTCTTTTGATCGTCTTTGCCATCAGCGAGGTTGATGTCACAGAGTGTGCTTTCGGTGACTGGTGGGGGCTGGATTTAACGCCAGCGCGCTTCACCAGCGCTCCCATTTTATCACTGAATCCCCAAAAGGGGGGTGAGGCAGGGGAGAGTGAAGGAAGGGATGATATAGGAGACTGATCCATAAGCTGGTTGTCAACGCTCTGACATTGAGGCTGACGTTTTGTCTTCGTGGCGCTGAAGCTGCTGTTTGTCAGGCTGCATCGTCATAGGCCCGGTTGATGGGTGTCGCAGAATGTCTGCATCCCCAGAACGGATGGAAGTTATCAGTGTGAATGGTCCCTCTCAAACCTCTGGTTTTGCTGAGCCTTTTGAAGACTCTGTTGAACCGGTTGATCCCTTTTTGTTGGCAGTGGCAAAAATATTGTACTTTTATGTGTGTGTGAGACGTACTGACGATACGTTTGTCTGTGTGCGTCTCGTTTTTCCAGCGGCGTCGTACACGGACAGCTCTGACGATGAGACGTCTCCTCGGGACAAACAGCAGAAGAACTCCAAGGGCAACGGAGACTTCTGCATCAAAAACATCAAACAGGCCGACTTTGGCCGCAGAGAGATTGAGATCGCAGAGCAAGGTAAACCAAACGACTGTAAAAGGAAAAAGGGCGAACTTAAGAGTTAGTGGATGCAGGTCGGTGGCCAACTTTCCTTCCTAATGTAGCACAGATTTGAACCGTAACAGCAGTAATGCAAACATGAGGGGCACAATACATTCAAAGTGTATTTTGTGTGTGCGTGTCCGTGTGTGGGGGGGTGTGTGTGTGTGGTACTGCTGGGTGACCATATGTTCCCTGCCACTACAAGTGAGAACACCATTTAAGAACCAACATGTTAATGCACATTATTCACATCATCCCCTAATTACTCCACAGAACATACAGAGAGCCTCAGCTGACACCCTGCAGGCTACACTCTCTCCCTCTCACACACACATACACACACATCCTTAGCATCACTAACTCCTTCAGCTGGATGAGTTGATGGATTAGGGATGAAGTACTGGAGGGATTAAATGATGGGAATTCCTTAACCACCCAGCTGATTATCCACTTATATGTTCATTTGCGTGTCTCTCTCAGAGATGCCAGCTCTGATGGCTCTGAGGAAGCGAGCCCAGGGGGAGAAACCCCTCGCTGGTGCCAAGGTGGTGGGCTGCACCCACATCACTGCCCAGACTGCCGTGAGTGGGGATGCAAAACACACACACACACACACACACACACACACACACACACACACACACA